TAGCTTGCAGTTGATGTCCTTTGTTGTGTCTGTCTCAAAGTATAAATTCCCTCTCAAAAGCTATTTTACAGCTTTAGTGTTTATTTTATAAACATGAAAATTGATCTGCTAAGTGATATACCAGGTAGTAGAAACACACTGGGATTAGTCAGTGCTTCTCTTTAAAAAAGGAAGAAATTGGTTAATCAATTGGTTACTAATGTCCGAGCATTGAAAGTTTTAGGTCAAAGGCACTGATCTCTCGGTGCAAGTATTTTTTCATTGGAAAATGTCTGTTAGAAAAACAGCAGGTGGAAAGAGGAAAATGGAACTTGTAAAATGACCTAGACTTTTAAAAAATTGACATTTCTAAAAGACTACTTGATTGTTCTTTGAAAATACTGTAGTGCAGGCCGATCCTCAGGTTTGTAAGTGGCTATGGTCCTTGGGAATGACCACATTGTTTCCTTGACACAACAAGTGCAATGTGTTAGTTTTGGAATTACTTTAAAATGTCATATAAATGCCATAAATGCTTGGTCCTTGCACATACTTGCAGCTTGTGAGCTCTGCAGGCATCCTTCCCTTCCCACCACTGTTCTTCTGCCAGGAGAACACTTTTTTTGCACTTCTGTGCTGAGTCATTCAGTCATTTAGTACTTGCAGTTACTGAACACCAACTTATGTTGAATCAGGATCTAGTGGGTTGAGCAGTTAAGAGTCACTGAAGGGTTTTTTGCCTTTTAATAGTGAGATTAGTCTAATGGACTGTTGGAGGCTTCATTTAATATTACATTAACATTACTGCCATTGAGTGTGATAGTTGAAGTCAAGTATGAGTAGAGTACATTTGCATTCACTAAGCAGATAGACATATAATGTGAGTTTACTTAATTGCTATTTACTTTTATTAGCCTGGAAAATCATCGCAGATTTTTCATTTTACATTTATTGCAGCAGTAAATTCACAAGCTGTGTAAGCCTACAGATTCTGGAACAGCTTTCTGGAGTGAAGTAATGAGACAAAACATTAAAAGCCTTTAGGTCTGTGGCAGTAGGTGCTGCTTTCTGCTTTGTGCACTACAGCTGGGAGGGAGCTGACAAGGCTCACTGGGTAGTGCAGATGCTGTGGAGGGAGGGCTGTATCAGCTCTACAGGTTAACTGAAGCTAAGTGTAATTTCTCTTCTGCTTGGGTGACTGAAATGCTTTTTAGGGCTAAAGATATCTGTGGCCTACTTCTGCTTGGAAAGGATTTACATATGGAAAGGTCCCTTAATTTAAGGACAATTACTGTATGCTAGAGCACCTACCAAACAAATTGCTCTTCTGGATTCCTGAAATCTATTCAAGCAGCCACTGCTTTTAAGCAAAAGAAATCAAAGATGCAGAATTTGACTACAGTGTTACAAGCCCCAGGTACTGTCTTAGTAAACAAAAATAAGGGTATTTTTGTTTGGTTAATTCCTTTTTCAGTTTTTTTTTTTTTTTTCCTGAAGGATAACAAATGTGTCTTGTTTGATAAAAGCTGGTGGGTAATTTAATCACTTTTAGGCAATAACTGTATATGCTGTTGTGTCCCATAACCATGGCAGCTTGGGATCCTGGTCTGGTGGTAGCAGTGGTTCAGTGAAGGCACTGCAGAATCCTGAAGGTGATAATCATCATCTTGGCCCTGAACTCAAGTAGCAAAATAGGCATCTAAGTGGTGTTTTTTTAATTGCCATGGACAATGAGGTAAGGTTTGGGGGGGGTTCTGGCTAAATTTTTATTTTTGCAGATGGAAATTCTAAAATTGTGAATGATATCATGCAGTTGGAAATTCTTCCGTATGCCCTGGCAGTGGCTCAGAGCCAGTCAGTGAAGCTGAAGAGATTTGAACTGCTGTTCAGAACAGTTACTTAACAGCCTAAGTCACCTCACATCCCTGCACTGCGTGCCCTATCCCTGTTAGGTGGTGGTTTGTGAATTTGAGAATTGTAAACCAACAGCTCAGCCATGAGACCTCTGATGGGTGCCTTGACCTAAAAGACTTACAAGGAGTTCTGATAGTTCGACACTTGTTTCAGCAGTGACACCTTTCCTTCTCCCTAGTTTATCACTGACATCTTCCCAAGAGCTGGAATCCGTAATGACTAAACACCTTCTCACAGCATCTTAATCTCTGTGATCTTGTATCTGCCCTGATTAGCATCTGGACCCCTGGTTTCAAATGCCAGTGGGAACAAGTCTGTTTTGATGCCTTATTTTCTCAAGGCATCTGTAAAGCACAGCTGCACATGGTGCAAGCCTGTGGGTGTCAGTCTGAATGCATTTGTGCAATAGCAGTGATGTGAAACCAGCATGAAACACTTGGCTGGACAGGGTACTGCATGAAGTGGGAAGCTGAAGTTACTTTCACAGAGAGACAAACTGTTCAACATTTCATACCACTATGGGGTCTCCATAAGAACAGGCATCTAGACATGAAGTATAATTTGGGTGTTTGGTATATTTAAAAGAAAAAGGCCCAAACACAACAAACTGCAATATGGGAGGGGTGGTCTCATTTTTAGCTGTTACAATATGGAACTTGCAGTTGTCTGTCACCTATGGGATATGTAATCTGGTATACTACTAAGACTCACAAGATGAGCTCATGAAATCACTTTATTTGCTTGCTTGCAAGGGAATTATGCCTAAATTTGCAGTGATGGAACCAGGTCAACCCACAGGAGGTCTGTCCTGATGCCAGGTGGAGCCATGTACCATTTGTCCTTATTACAGTAATTTCTTGCCATTTTGAGATTCAGCTAAGGTAAGATACAGATTTTTCAACATGTAGGTTAGAGTGAGATCAGTTAAGAACACTTACATGTATTAAGTCTGATGCTTGACAGTTTATTCTGCATGCTAGGCAAGCTCAGTGGTGTCAGTTCCTTCTAAGATCATCTCTGTGCCTGAGTTCGGTTGTAAAATAAATTACGAGGTCAACATGCTGCTGCTGGTGAGGGATAACAGACAAGGTTGTCTTAAAATAATCTATTTAATTAACTGCTGCTGAAATAACTGGCCTGCATATCATTGATGTCCCCCTTATTAATTAGGCAGTACTAAAATACTGTGTTGAATAGCCTGCTGTAAGGGAGAAGAGAATTCACTTGTTATTTCAGGAAGGTTTATTTCTGTTTCTCTCTCAGCCTGCAACAGTCCCTGTCGGTCAGCCTGAAACAGGCTTGAATGGAAACAGGAGGATACTGTTGTTTCCGTGATGAGGTTTGCCACTCTCAATTGGCCTGAACGCTTTTCAGTTGTAATTATGTAGATATGATGAATGCTAAGTGATAGAATGGGACCAGTTAACTGTGATAGGTTCCTGAGGCAGCCAGTGCTGATTGAGGGAAGTCGTGTTAAGTTGCAGTGGGACCGCTACACGAGGACAGAGTGGCCCCAGCATGTAGAGCTAAAAGTGTTCTCAATATTTCGGCATTTATTGAATTTGGCATCTCCTTCATTCTCACCCTCTGCCTTTTATTTCAGGTAATAGTTAAAATTGCTCTTGTGTTCCAGTGAGGGGAATGGGTTTATAGCAATTGGAGGGGAGCGGTTTTAACTATTTTCTTGCACTCTACTGCATGAGTAACCTACATAAGAAAACTGGTAAACTTAAGAATGAATAAATTAAGAATGAGAAATTCACTGGACAGAGACTCTCACAACTTTGTGCAGATGATATTGCCTAAGTGAATGAGAAAAAATCTGGAGATGCCAGAACATGTTAATAGAAAGATAACCAGGGCAGTAATTGCCAGTCAGTAGTCAGTAAGTGCAGCCAGTTGCTTTGATGCATCCTCTCTGCTCATCCAGTTAATCGCAGAGGAACTGGAGATGTTTATGTCTAAGAGCGCGGCAGGCTGAGGGAGCTGTAAAGTGAGAATTTCATACAGTGAAGCATCTAGTTCTGATGAGCAAAGATTTGAAACAAAAAAGGTTACTGCTGTAGTAGGCACCTTTGCAGAACTGTTTCAGCAAAGCATTGTGCTTTTTTAAATGGGATTCAGGGATGATTTCTGAATGTGCATGCAAGTACTGGGGGATAACCAATTATGAGTGTACTGCTAAAGAGAGGATGCTACCAATGAAAGTTCAACTAGCCACAGCTACACACTGTGTACACACATACACTGTGTATGATTCTGAGGCAGCCCCTGAGAAAAAGCTTTTCTGAGAATGTATATACCATGAAAAACGGTTCTAAACTTGCAGCTAAAATTCATGCTGGTAGCCTGAGCCCACTGTAGATATTTTTTAGAGGAGTTCCACTGAAGGGTTAGCTATCCACTCATACTAGTTGTTTAAAAGTAATTTTGGAAAGATTAATGACACATTAGTAGACTTGTATGAGTTTGTATTGAAAATCAGTCTGCATGAACAGGTCACCTAATTCATTGAAAATTCTTTAGGTTTAGGAATGCACAGAAGAAAACCTGAACTGCTCATCACAACAGTCAAATGACTGAAGACAGTAAGTCAACTTCCACAACAAAAAGGGCTTACACATGCCCTTTAAAAGTGCAGATTAGCTTTTTGCTAGAGGAGAAAAACATGCACTACATATGTAGCATGCTGTTCTTACTACAGCTTGATAGCCTTACCATGGATTGTTTGTCAACAGTTTGAAGAAAGCAGTTAAGCCTGTTCACAACAGTGCAAGAGGGGCCCAGGCTTCAGCTAACTCTACCACATTCAACCCAGGTCAGATAATCTACAGCCTTAGCCTGATTGAAAGCTCACCAAAATTACTTTTTTACATTTGTAACACGCAGCTGATGGATTTTAAACAAATATAACCATAACCTCAGGTAGGGAGAGGTGGAAATATCCCACATGATATAACTATATTTTCTCACATTCAGGGATCAGAGGGAGACGATGACATCTCAGGTGAATTTGTGTACAAGGCTTCCACCAGACCCTCCCTCAAACACTCCATGTTGGCATGCTTTTACTTAGTGCAAAGAGGCTACAAAATTATGAAACAATCTTAAAAAAGGTAGTTCTGGAAAGCTTTATTGAATACTTCTGGATTTGTTACAGCATCAGTAAGTTACATTTTGCATTAGCCTGCTTTACACTTTCAAACCAGTTCTGGACGATGTTACAGGAACACTGTACTACTATCTCAGGGAGCAAGTACAGTTTGTAAGCACTTCTAGTGGTGTTTGAGTGTGACTGACAGGCCTGAAGACAGGGTTGCTTTGTCACATGACACCAAAGGTAGAGAAAGTGGACCTCTTAAAATGCTGTCATGCTGGTTAACCATATGGCTGGTCCCAAGGCTCTTCCCTTCTGCTATCTTGACCAAAAAAAGCCAGGTGCCTTCCTATGCTGTCACACTCTTGTTCATCCCAAACCCCCCAGGCTTGTAGCAATTCTGGTGGTAATTAAGAAATCTGTTCATTTATTACAGAAGTGAAATTCACTTGATAGATACCCTCACAACTTTGTGCAGATCATATTGCATATGTGAGAAAATGATTCTATAGGATTCTGAAGTCCAACACCATTATTTAAAATACTTTTTCATACTAATTTCCTATGAACTTTGTATGTCTACCTTGTGCAATTAACTTTCCTGTAGCCTTATTTGTTAAATCCACAGTGGCAAATGCGAGAGTTTTCCCTTGCTTCAAAATCTGAGCTGTAATCAGTATCTCTTCTCCAATCTTAGCAGCAGAAGTGTATCTTCAAGGAAGAAAAAAAAGGAACAGGTAAGAGGCTGTACAGAGGATAAATCCAAGAATATTCCTGCATTTTAAATTATCATGAAGGAATTAGCAGAAATGGGTAATAAAGACACATCTCTGTCTGTCTGTCCTGCCTGCCTGCCTACTTGCAAACCCCTACTTAATGGATTTGAGCTCCTCTAACTAACTACTGGCAGTGGTAAGTAAGTATAAGAGTTCTCTGAAAAAAATGGAGGCTAGAAAGACCCCCACTGGCTTGGTTCTGAGGAAAAGTCCTTTTTGGAACAGAAACAATCGGGTATCCAAGACTTCAGTTAAAAGTTCAGCTCCAAGTCCTATTCCAACCACTGCTGGCTTCCTACAGTCTTTCTAAACTAGTCTGTCTGCTTCAGCTGCAAAATGTCACTGTTATAAAGGCTCCAGAAGGTCATTTCTGTATGTAACTGTAAGCATAAGCTACTGTTCCCATGCCCTGGTTAGAGGAAAGTCATGGAAACCAGGGCAGCCCTCAAATGATGTTTCCATTCATTAGACAACTCTTTGTTTTTATTTACATGAGCAGGGGGTGTTCTTTTAAAACATGCTCTTTGGGGAACAGGAAGAAATTTCTGCATGAAGAATTCCCCTGGAAAGAATTAGGAGGAACATGATCCAACCATGATCTGAGGTAAAGGAACAATATTCAAATGTTAAGAGCTGCAGAGGACAATGAAGAATTGCTGGATGTTAATCTTGTTGAGATAAATTTCATCAACCAGTCCATTTTTATACACAACACCATGTCACAAGAATGTCAGTCACGCCTAACGCTGATGTAGCACCAGCTCCATTGCTTGACTTGGGCAGGATTTCAGCCTTGTCTCATTTCCAGAAGCTGCTGCTGATCCTCTTGTGGTTACCAAAAAAAAAATTTCTGTTTCTCTCTGTTCTTTCCATTACTGAAATAGCTTCCTCATGACAACTTTTTAAAAAGCTCCTTCCCAAAAAGGAAGAAAGTTCTTGTAGCAATATTTGATATCCCATCTCACTTGTTCAATGAATGCAGTAGTCCAAGTTAAAAAAGCTATTAATATTGCTTCATATAACATTGCCTAAAGGTAATTTTGGATCACCTCCAGAGACAGCACTTTCTTCAAATTTCAGCCCTTATATAATTGGGTGGACATAACTAATAGTGTCAATAATTCAGATGTTTGCCTCTTGTTATACTACTGCAGGAAAAAACCCGTAATGACAGGTGAATTTTAGGTTTTAATTTCCAGTAAGATCCTAGTCATCACAGTGGCAGTATGAAACTTAGGTGCTTAATCCCATCTGCCCAATGGAGAAATCAGAAGGTGCTTGGAGAGAAAGGAGGGAACATGGTAAAGATACAGATCACTCCCCACACACTTTTAAAGCTTTTTTTTTTTTTTTAAAAAAGCAGTTTTTATAGGGGGTTACTTTTCTAAGATTTTTAATACTCTGTATTAGTTATTCCAAGCAGGATTACTTTATTTCCAATTGGTCATAATCTCTTCATTAGAAGTAATGAAGCAAAGCTGACAAGCTACAATAGCATGATCAAAGAAAATTTCAGAACAACTGTTTATTTAAGACACCGTACTTTGAATTTTCATTATAGGAAGAACTATTCTCATTATAAAACTACCTTAAAATGACCTAGAGCAAAGGATTTTTCTGCCACTGAGAAATTCTGATTCAATCTGTAATTCACCCTCTATATGAGCATACAACAGAGGTAAACTCTTTCCTGCTTTAGTATTTTTCTCTGATTTCTGGAATAATACTAAAAAAGGGTTTATAGAAAGCTGCTTACCCTAGAGCTTGGGTTTTGAGGAGACATTAACATAGCTGCAAAAGCAAAAAATGACACTAAACCAATTTCTTATGAGTAAAATTAACCATGTATCAACATCCCTTTACATTCTAAGAAGGAATAGCCTCTGTCTTGTAAACACATGTAACAAAAAAATAGCTTAAGAAGGTCCAACTCAAAACTTGAAACTAAATGCAATCTCCTAAAACACACATGCAACCCCTTTAATTTATCAAAACAGCACTTTTGAAACCAAAGAAAACAACCATTTTTAGTGCCGCAGGACAGAAAAGATGTACAATGGAGTCAGTAGGGGAAGAAAAGTTAGTATGTTTTGGTAACCATAGTGGATGATACCTACGTGATGTTCATGTCCACACTGACCCCAGGCGCTGCTCTTTCTGTGTACAGCAATGCTGCTGTTGACACCACATCCACAAGTGTGGCTGTCAAACCTCCGTGTAATGTGCCACCTCTGTTTGTATGCTCCTCCTCTACTTTCATTTCACAAACAACTTTTCCAGGAGTTGCAGACTGAAGTTTCATCTGCATAACCAAAAAAAGGAATAAAAAGCTTAGTGACAGCAGTACCAACACCTAATATTGCCCTCAATGAAATTGAAAGTAAATTTTGTCTGACTCTGGACTCATGAGACAAATTAAAAGATGGAAAATACAGTAATTCAACTGTTCCATTAGATATTTCCATGAATTTTGAGCAGACGACTGTTGGCTTAGAAAAATCTGTACTTCTAATGCAGATAAATATTTAAACTGACAGCTTAACAGCACTTCAATACTTGATATGTTGTCAAGAATTCCTTAGGAGGAAACTGTCTTCAGTCTTCCTTTTGCTTTAATCTGTGAGTGGAAGGCCAGATTAGAGGGAACACAAAACGGTTCTAAGTATCTGTGTGTATGACAGCTGTGAAGACATATTACTTAGCTCACAAAATAGAAATGAAATCTCCACTCATTCATTAATCATTATATTAGAGCAACCTCAATAAAAATCAGTATTTTGGAATGAGCATTGGAAATACTAATCAGATTGGCCTCCCTGGTTGTGAATTCATATTCACGAGTAGAAGTATCCAAGTATGTATCACAGTGTTACAGCAGCATTATTTGCATATACAATTTTATTCCAGCCCACAGGTGCTAAATCCAGAATTACAGCTCACCTGTGGTACCATGCTTCCCCCTATAACCAACACATGAAGTTGGAATTTTGAGACCAAGAAGTTACTGCAATTCAGTATTTTAAAATCTCCATTTAAATTTCTTCAGTTAGTAGCACTGTATTCAAAATCTGAAAGCAGATGCAAAACTGGGGTAAGTTCCACATACATTTACATGTATAACTAAGACTTTGAAGTGCCTTTAGATGATTAAAAGTGAGACATGGGCATTTATTATATTTATTCCTACAAATTTTCAGTTTTTTTACAAGGGCTTTTTTAAACTTGAATGTTTCCATTCTGTTACCAGCTGAGTTGATTTAAATCTTTTTTGATCTTAAAAGCTATTAAGGTTGAAATGTTTCCAGGTTCATCATTCCTTATTTATAATGCAATGTAAGAGCTGAGTTTCACCCTTTCTGATAAACCAGTTTATCCAAATCTTGCAGACAAATAATACTAAGATCAATGATGATATAGTACATTCTTCTAATGGAAAAAACTGGTATTAAACAGAGAGGAAACTACTGAGGCAACATCCTAATACAGAAATAACACTTATATCAATGAAAACCTCAAGTCCTAAATCAGGCACGCTGCACTGCACTGGAGGCCTAAGCTTCTGACAGAATTTCTAAGGAGGACTTTACTGATGCTCCACACTGGGAGCAGATGGCTTCCCCTCCCGCCAGGGACTGCTGCTCCAACCCACCAGCGAGGTGAGGAAAGCATCTAGTCCCATTTGTCATTGCTCTGAGCTGGCACTACATGCCTGCTCTCCTTGACAAAAATAGTTCAGTACTTGAACACTTCCAGGACCTACTCAGCTAGAGCTGCTGGTTTGTGCTTCTCCCAGCCCTGCTGTGCTTGTCCTCCCACGCGTCTGCCTCGGGGAACAGCACACTGCTTCAGCTTCCAGGCTTTAAACACATAGTCATTAAACTCTGGGTGGATACCACATTGGAGTTAAACCAGAAACTAAGTCTGAGGCAGGAGGTGAAAGGTTTCAGACTAAAACGTGTCTCCTCTGGAATAAGAAAAACCTTGAGTCATTTAGTTATGGTAACAGAGATTTCAGCTATCTCCCAGAAAAGCAGCAGTTACTTTGAATTCAAACACAACTGTCCTTTCATTGTTATTATCATCAGACTCCTAGCATCCTAATTCTAGAAGGTTGCAGGAAAAATCTGAAGGTATTTCAGAGCAAGACTGGAAGCCTGTCTCCCAAAGCTCACTTCCAGGCAGTTATCTTTACAAGCTGAAATGCTAATATTTGCTCACCACTTATCAGGGTTTAAAAGGACTGAAAAGTTATCACAGTGAAGTGGTGACTATGAACTAAACAGACTCTATAAATATATCTTCTTATAGCTTTATACATTTTAAAAAAACTTTATACCCACCAACGTGTCTTGGAAATACATGACTGTAAGAATTACTTTGTGAACAGCTGATTTCTATTAAATGTATCATATAATGGAGCTGTTAACAAAAGCGCTGCTTCCATTATAACATTTGCTCCTCTACAATGCAAAGCATATGATTTTTCACATGGCTGATTTTCTTAGATATATTTTATTCTATCGCTCCATGTCACAGTTACACAACCAAATTAAAATGAAAGGGAAAATTTAATGAGAACATTGTAACCGCTTCACAAGAACTTTCCTACACGGCATCTATGCTACCACAAACTGCACAATTTACACTGAAAATGAACAGTAGCTTCAACTTTTTTTTGAGGATAATGTAGTATGACACTGCAGCAGACACAGTCAATTACATTTCTTTACACCAAAAGGTGCGGTGAAGGTGCAGTGCAAGGCCTTGTGTAGAAATTCAGAGAGCACTGGGGGTGTGCCTTGTGCTTTCAGTCTGACTTCAGGCTCAGGAGTGAGGTGTCATAACTTTCTGATTTTAAACAGGGAAGAGTTTATGTCACAATTTCACTGTCCTGGAAGTTAACAGCTTCGCACTTACTGCGAATGCAAGAATGGCACCTGCTCAATGACTCCTGAAGGTTGCTCAGCACAGCCACCTTCAGAGAGCTGCTGGAAGGCAGCTGGAGTATTTAACGAGAGTTACTGAACAACACTTGGGTTATTATTCTTATCGTAATAACTGCGTGTTCTACCCCACGTCAGCAGCACGCCCACAGCGGTGCCGAGGCCTGGCGTGCGGGGAAACACCGCCGAGCCCGCACCTCTGCGGCCGCCGGGACCGACCCCTGGTGCCGCTTCAGCCTGTCACCCCGGCAGGGAACAGCAGGCCCCTTCAGCCCCGTCCCGCCGGGGCCGCGCTGCCGGAGCCCTGCCCTCCAAGTGCCCGTACCTTGCCGAGCACCCGGTCGAAGCCCTTCGACTCCACCATGTACTTCATGGC